GTACCGGTCTCTAAACTAATAGAGTATCACATCCAGCAGCCACTTTCCATCTCTTCAGTCTCTCCAATTTCAAGAAGCTGAAGCATTTATTGGAGACCCCCATCCAGGTAAATCCTTGGGAAAATGGTTCGAACCAAGATCTAAAATCTTCACAAGATGCCCAAGCTATGTACAGACAGTTAAACCATTGTCAGTGGATGAGATTCCTTTTCTGATTCAAGAGTCATGAAACTGAATTCGTTCAAAAAAGAAAAGGAATTCGTGAAATTCTGGTCTGGATCCGCGCGCCAGTCGAAACTGCATCGAGCCATGAGCGAACTCTCATAGTTAGTTGTGTATAGGTCACAGATGCGGGGTTTGAAAAAAAAATGATAAGAACTGAGTAATTTTCGATCAGTCACCTGTGATAAACTCTCATGACGATTCATGATCTTACTGGTTACACGCTCTGTTATCCATGTTATGATGCCCCTAGTTTGATACATTCTTAGCCTGCTCCAAAAGGTACTTGTATTTGGGTCAATAAAGCAATTAAAGAATGAAAGAATTGGGTAGGGAAATAGATTAATAATTGGGAAAGTAAATAAATAAGTAAGTAAGTGAATAATTAAGCAAGTAAGTTTATACATAAATAGACCATTGTATATGTGACGGAACAGCGAACTATATTTGACGATTGTTTTTGGCTAATGTTAAGTAATCATCTTTGGGCAACACTTTTCCAGCATAAATTATAATAAGTATTTTAGTGATCCGCATAAAAAAAAGAAAGGATTTCTTAAAACAAATGATTCCAAAAGAGTTAAATTAAAGGAAATTAATTTTAAATACGCTGCAATCTTTTACATGCAAAATAATTTAGATTAATTACATTCAAATTCAGTCAGAAATTTTTTTACTATGGATTGCCTAAAAGTTTGACAAACCAGGTTGGGGTTACTAACACAATTGACCCCCTCCCCGGTAATCAGTACAATCGATCAGTACCGTTTGTTGCAGAGGAAAATAACAATTCACCAATACTGGGTTTGTTGTCCATTTACCTAGCCTAAATAAGTGCTCAACAATCAAGTGAATCTGCAAACTGCGTTAATGACATTTCCACCGAACCCAAACAATCATCTTCAATCGTCCTGTGAGGACCAAATTTTCATTATTGAAATCCTCACACTCTGATAGACCAAGTCAAAAATACCAAAACAATTCACCAGTACCACGACATGCACACCCTGTGACTTATAAGCTTCGTTTTCCCAGTCACTACGGGTTCCCATCTGAGCACTGTAAGAGAATATAGGAACCGGTGAGAATAGAAAAGATGAATAAACTGACTATACATTTCTACCAAAGGGAGTGGAGCGTTGAAAAATGCAACGCAGCTGTCTTTTTCTTTCTTGATTGTGAAAAGAAATAAGTCGAGACCGGCTTTATATTCTTTGGTTCGCTAAAACTTGTTACCTGAATCCTAACGGTTTTTCTTCCTGAGAGCGAGTTGTTGTTGGTGTTGCTTTTGGTGGTGCTGGTAGTGGTTAGGGGTTGCCCTAACCACCAAGAGGTGTGACTCATTTGTGAAGGCTATTTCAAGATACCGGGTAGTAACATAAAGAGACAATCCGGTCAGAAAATTGAATGGTGAATGAATCATCACCAGAATATGAAATATCATATCTGTACCATATAGTTCCGCTAACATCTTAGAAATACCATTTCATTGTGACTAATTCCAGTCACTTTTGGCAAGCAAGTACAGGTCGAGATGCGGGAACGGTTAAAAAGAGAAATGACTAAACCTAGCAAATAATCAGGAATTCCGCGGGTAAATGAGATTACTCGGAGGCAGTTATCGTAACATTGTATAGTTCAGAGTTCAGTCCAAATCACTTCTACCCCGGAAGATAAATTTCAAGTTATTTGAATGGAAGTTGGTATTGCACTAGTCAAATGAGCCTACCATTTATGTTACACATCGTTTTCAGTGACTTGGGGAAAATACGTCACTTAACAAAACCAAAAAGATTGAGCTTTATTGGGCATTGATGCATTCTATGAGATTTCCAAATATAGCCACCGTAGTAGTAGTAGTAGTAGTAGTAGTAGTAGTAGTAGTAGTAGTGGTAGTAGTAGTAGTAGTAGTAGTAGTAGTAGTAGTAATAGTAGTAGTGACGATTTGGTTGATGTTAGATAGACCATTTTGATGTTGTAAATAGGCAGGAGATACTCCATTTTGAACTGAGTGGCATTTAAGCAACATGGGTTTGTCTATTTACACTTTATTTGTGCATACATTTGGCTTGTTGAAGTTCAGATCATGTCCCATTTGCATATGACCAATGGAAGTGATGGAGGCAACGAACAACTGGCATGTGTGTAGATGCAGCGATTCAGTGCACGGAACAGCTAGTGTTCCATCTTTGGGATGTAGCAGATGTGGCAATGATTAGCAAGCCCATAGGCGTAGATATGGGGATCCGAAGTCTTGCAATCAGATGTTTTTTTATTGGAACGTCACTGC